TGTACAATAAAATTTTATATAATACTCATAATAAACTTTATAAATAAATATTTTTCTTATTACAATAATTACACATTTACTTTCACTCATCTCCTTAATCATTTCTAATAACAGAATTTTTAACTAAAGCCATTAAGCCCTAGCGTACCAAACACAAACCCTTAACTCACCTCCACCTCCGCCGCCACCGGCGCGCTTCCGTCCGTGTCCGGAGGCCGTTCCTCAACTGCTCTTCCGGCGACGGCGATGCAGACGGCGGCGGCTATGGACTTATCGAGAAGACTATGGCGACAGATAGGGCAAGAAGAGTGCGAAGAAAGCCACGTGTCGATGCATCGAACATGGAAGCCGTGGTTGCAGGTCGGAAGAACCCGGACCTTCTCTCCGTCGGCGAACTCAACAAGACAGATCGGGCATTCCGTTGCCGGAATATTCGCGCTGGATCCGTAGGTCGCCACTGGGATCCGCCTCAGAGCGCACTTCTTCAGCCCCGTAGCCGATAGGCGAGTCGCGGTTGCCTCCGTGGTTTCGAAAGTGAGTCGCCGACCGCAGCGTAGGGCGCATCGAACGATTGAGTTTAGCCCCAGGGCGCAGATTAGGGCGCAGAGAAGGGCCGCCAGGATTATTACCATGTTGGTGTCGAAGTTCGAGTCGGGGGCGCCGGCGCCGGCACCAGCGGTGATGCTCCGATTGGACGGAGCTGGCGGCGTAGCAGCCACCGTCGTCCCCAGCAGGCGCCGCATTAATGATGAGAGAGATTGGTCTGCCCGTGAGCTCTCCGGTTTGGTCTAGAAATTACATGTCGGAATCATTTTAAGAGGAGATATTTTTGGTAGGCTGGTCCTTATCTACGTAAGGGATAGGATACCCAACTGTAGCCTTTAAATATATTTTAATTTAAATTTTTTTTTTTTAAGTTGAGTTATTTTATTTATAATTTTTTTACGTACATAATATTTAAAACTATTGAAAATACATATTTAACACCTAAATTTTTATATTTACTAATATACCACCTAATAATCAATTCTAACATTCCGTTTAAACCTTCCATCAAAAATAACTATCAACGACTATCTTCCACGTCAATAGCATACTTTCATGGTAAATACAAGTATCTCATTGCTTCAATGGAGTGGTAAAATAGAAGAAAAAGGAAATTTTAGGTGATATATTAGTAAATATAGAAGTTTAGATATTAAATTATGTTTAAATATGTATTTCAATAGTTTTAGATGTATGTAATGAAAATTCTTTTTATTATTGTATTAATTTTAGGGTATACATTTTTTTAATGAGATATCCACCCCGCATGTTACTTTAAAGGAACGTTTTGTGCTAGATCTAGTGCGAGAACCTAATCGATGGCCATCCACCAGTATCCGATCCCACGACTTATTTTGCTCCACTGATTAAGAGTGCGAGTTCTTAAGTTAGAGGGGATTCAAAACCCTCGGATGGAGGTTTCTCAACCGTGCCCACCACTAACCACTTACCGGGGTCAGGGATTTAAAGTAAGAATAAATTTAAAATTTAAATTTTTAAATACTTAAGTGTGGTGAGTATAAGTATATAATCAAATTATAAAATTTAATTATTTAAATTTTTAATATATTAATTGGAGTTAAAATGTATAATAAAATATTTAAATATTAATATGGGAGCTTATAATATATAATAAAAATTATTAAACATTTTAAATTTTAAAATTTAATTAGAAGTATAATATAGTTATATTTCAAGAATTATGAACACTCCTAAAAGTTAATTTTTGGATTGAAAGTCTTAAAATTTTCAAATGACCGTTAATCTTAATGTACAATTTATATTAAAAATTTAAATAATTAAATTCAAAATCATTAGTAGTTTGATATTAAAAAACTTATAGTCAAATTAAGCTTTTTGATTAAAAAAAAACCCATAGGCACAAAATGTGATTCGAGTTGATTTCAAATGAGCTGATATCAAGTACTTGAAAGATAATTTAAAACTTTACGTCATTAATTGAAGGTTCAAAGATTATCCAAATCTTGCATGTTTATTATTGAAGCGAGCAGCTCCACGAGATGAATCCAACAAATTCAAGATCAGTCGATTTTAATATTATTAAAATACTTGAATGATGAATAAATGATCTATGAACAAATGGTTTAATATAACCCTTCTCATGCGTCCGTAATGATCACATGATCTTACTCTTTGATATCCCTGATTTCATCTCATCCATCATTCAGCATCATAATTGTTGCCTTCAACATAATCACCGCCAAACTCATCTATCGTCACTATCGCTCTCGTGGATCTCTTCAATCGATTTTTTTCGCTCCTATTGCATCAAACATTTAGCGCACAATAATAATAACACATATACCATCTTATGTTTCTTTGATAACTAATTTACTCGAATTTTGTCAAATTGGGTATTATTAGAATATTACCTCTAAATTACTTTGAGATGCAAGCTTTTGCTTAAAAATATTTAATTATTGAGATAAAATTTAATGCTTCCAATAATTATAAAACAACCTTTATCTAAGTGTCTATAAGTGTCCTAGGAGCAAGGTAACTGTCTTAATCTTAATTACTTTCATTCTTCTATGCAACTACTTCCAAAGACTTCTCAAATAAATTGGGTCTTACAATTGAATTGCAACTTTAAACTAGGGGTGTCAAAATTGGGTTTCGGGTCGGGTTCGGGTCGGACCCGAACTGACCTGGGGTTTAAACGGGTCAACCCTAGCCCGACCCGGATATGTAAACTGGTCGAAAAGTCTGACTCGAACTCGACCCGTCGGGTTGCCAGGTTGACCCGGCCCGACCCAGATTTGGGTTCTGCCGACGTCGGAATGTTGGAACGGCGGCAGGCGGACGGCGGGCGAGGGGGAGGACG